AAACACTGACGAGGAGCCACATTGGTTGTTAACAGTCTTTATTTACAGCCATGAAGGAAAGAGGAAGAGGAAGTACAATGCACAAGGGACATCACTCAAGATAACAATATAAATATAATACTAATACAGAAGAGTGAGTTCCCTTGACCTCACAATTATCTCAATCTATTACAATTTTAGTATCTATTGGATACCTTTACTAATGTTAAGGAAGACACCAACGCTTTTCTTTATAGTTATTTAAATAGTAGTCTATAATTTATTTTCTACTTTTTAGTGCATCATTACATAAAAGCTTGTTATTAAAACGTTTTTTATGAATTTTTTTTCAGTACTTTACATGTTTTATTTACAATAGAGTTACATGACTAAAAACCATTGCGCGCCTACTGAACATCACGTTCAGTAGGCGCGCAATGGTTTTTGAACGCAGCCATTGAAGCTATTGAAGGTGATGACGCGTGTAGTGTGGTTGGCTAGACATGCCTACTAATTCGGTCCAAATTTTTATTAATTCATAAAAAATTAATTAGGCATCCAATTAAGTCAAATTTAGTTTCAGATTGCATTGTCTTCATGTCTTGATCCACGTGCCAACTGTGAATCGTATCGGTCAAGTAGAACTGTCCGAATTTTCACTCCTGCGTTTCCGTCAAGACAGACAGACAGAGGAAGTGAGTTAAATAAAAGCTTGTAAAAACGTTTTAATAACAAGCTTTTATGTAATGATGCACTAAAAAGTAGAAAATAAATTATAGACTACTATTTAAATAACTATAAAGAAAAGCGTGGGTCACTTTAGTATCTATTGGATACCTTTACTAATGTTAAGGAAGACACCCACGCTTTTCTTTATAGTTATTTAAATAGTAGTCTATAATTTATTTTCTACTTTTTAGTGCATCATTACATAAAAGCTTGTTATTAAAACGTTTTTTATGAATTTTTTTTTCAGTACTTTACATGTTTTATTTGCAATAGTATTACAAGACTAAAAACCATTGCGCGTATATTGAAGGTGATAGCGCAGCTATTAAACCTGATTGAACGTGATGACGTATGTGGTGTGGTTGGCTAGACATGCCTACTAATTCGGTCCAAATTTTAATTAATTCATAAAAAATTAATTAGGCATCCAATTAAGTCAAATTTAGTTTCAGATTGCATTGTCTTCATGTCTTGACCCACGTGCCAACTGTGAATCGTATCGGTCAAGTAGAACTGTCCGAATTTTCACTCCTGCGTTTCCGTCTAGACTGACGACTGACGAGGAAGTGAGTTAAATAAAAGCTTGTAAAAAAAATTCATAAAAAAAAATTCATAAAAAACGTTTTAATAACAAGCTTTTATGTAATGATGCACTAAAAAGTAGAAAATAAATTATAGACTACTATTTAAATAACTATAAAGAAAAGCGTGGGTCACTTTAGTATCTATTGGATACCTTTACTAACGTTAAGGAAGACACCCACGCTTTTCTTTATAGTTATTTAAATAGTAGTATATAATTTATTTTCTACTTTTTAGTGCATCATTACATAAAAGCTTGTTATTAAAACGTTTTTTATGAATTTTTTTTCAGTACTTTACATGTTTTATTTACAATAGAGTTACATGACTAAAAACCATTGCGCGCCTACTGAACATCACGTTCAGTAGGCGCGCAATGGTTTTTGAACGCAGCCATTGAAGCTATTGAAGGTGATGACGCGTGTGGTGTGGTTGGCTAGACATGCCTACTAATTCGGTCCAAATTTTAATTAATTCATAAAAAATTAATTAGGCATCCAATTAAGTCAAATTTAGTTTCAGATTTCATTGTCTTCATGTCTTGACCCACGTGCTAACTTTGAATCGTATCGGTCAAGTAGAACTGTCCGAATTTTCACTCCTGCGTTTCCGTCTAGACTGACGACTGACGACTGACGACAGAGGAAGTGAGTTAAAAAAATTCATAAAAAACGTTTTAATAACAAGCTTTTATGTAATGATGCACTAAAAAGTAGAAAATAAATTATAGACTACTATTTAAATAACTATAAAGAAAAGCGTGGGTCACTTTAGTATCTATTGGATACCTTTACTAATGTTAAGGAAGACACCCACGCTTTTCTTTATAGTTATTTAAATAGTAGTCTATAATTTATTTTCTACTTTTTAGTGCATCATTACATAAAAGCTTGTTATTAAAACGTTTTTTATGAATTTTTTTTCAGTACTTTACATGTTTTATCTACAATAGAGTTACATGACTAAAAACCATTGCGCGCCTACTGAATATCACGTTCAGTAGGCGCGCAATGGTTTTTGAACGCAGCCATTACGTGGTCGTGATGGCGCAGCTATTGATGACGCGTGTGGTGTGGTTGGCTAGACATGCCTACTAATTCGGTCCAAATTTTAATTAGTTCATAAAAAATCAATTAGGCATCCAATTAAGTCAAATTTAGTTTCAGATTGCATTGTCTTCATGTCTTGACCCACGTGCCAACTGTGAATCGTGTCGGTCAAGTAGAACTGTCCGAATTTTCACTCCTGCGTTTCCGTCTAGACTGACGACTGACGACGACTGACGACAGAGGAAGTGAGTTAAATAAAAGCTTGTAATAAAAGCTTGTAAAAACGTTTTAATAACAAGCTTTTATGTAATGATGCACTAAAAAGTAGAAAATAAATTATAGACTACTATTTAAATAACTATAAAGAAAAGCGTGGGTCACTTTAGTATCTATTGGATACCTTTACTAATGTTAAGGAAGACACCCACGCTTTTCTTTATATATATATATATATATATATATATATATATATATATATATATATATATATATATATATATATATATATATATATATATAGGGGGCTAAAAACAATTTTTTGCGGGGTGGCCCTTTTTTTCTAGTTCCGCCACTGGCTACGCCTCTGTTTTTAGGCATTTAAAAGTAGCCGAGTACGGATATATTAAAAGTAGCATGTCATTTAGTGGTATTAAAGTTTAGGCAAGACATAAGACATAGCAAAATTTCGCTGAAAATAGAAGTTATTGAAAGAGTGTATATAAAAGCGATAATAAGACACGAGTGACTTGACGAGGGAGAACCTGGTTCGAACATGGTGCTAAGTTCGTTCTTGCATTGGTCGGATATTTAGCTACTGAAGTTACAGCTAATTCAGTTGTTAGCTGAAGTTGACACAATAATCAAAACAACGTTTGTGTGTGTCATACTAGTTAGGACAAAATTCAACAAGACCGTAACATGATTTGAATACTGTGGAGGGCCCTTAAATTTTATTTCTAAAAGTAGGCGGACATAGTTTAAGGTTTGTCCATAAGTGTCGTTTAGCTATTTTTTATGTCCCCACCCCCCAATGCACTCCCGTCGTCATACAGCACATGACATTATAGTCTTGCCTGCCTTTCCTAAAATAACCGAAACCGAAACAAAATTCAGAATTCTTTTTTTACAATTAAAATAAACCGGGAGTGATCTCCCATAAACTTTCTCGAATATTCTTATATAAAACAACAGGGGATGGGAACTCGGGATATAGACATTATTTTTAATCCATTTTAAATACTTAAACTTTTTAAAATAGAATAAAATCTCGTAGAAAAAAAGAATTGCACACCAGTAAACGCCAAATAAAGATGTTCATAATAGTGCGCAATATTATTAGTACTTTATAAATTTACATGCGTTTTTGAGAAATCGGAAATAGCGTAAATTAGTACTTCCGGTCAACGGAAATTACTCAAAATTTGACAGAAGGTAGAGAATTAGATCTTTTACTTACATGTGAAATTTCATTTAACTATTTGAAATAGTACTCAAGTTGTAGGCTTTTGAAAAATTCAAAGTAGAAACAGTACCACTTCCGGTTATCGGAAATCGCTCAAAAGTTGATACGGATCAACGATTTTGATAAAATATATGAAATTTATCAACCTAGCTGTAACGGTACTCAAGTTATCGTGTTTACACACACACAGACACACACACACACAGACACTCAGACATACGGACAAGATTGCAAAATTAAGTTTTTCCGTATCAGTGAGGTGTAAAACGTCGAGATTCGTAAAAATCTCGATTTTTTTGCACGATTACAAGACTTTCTCTATACTTCGTATATACGAGAAAGTAAAAAAAAAGTTAGTACAAGTAAGCAAACTGTTATAAAAGTTAGCTGCGTGAAATTCTTAGATAGTGTACGGGTTTTCGGAGCGCCATTGACTGTTTAAAGGAACATCATGGAGACCATTATTCAATTATTTAATGGAGTGTTATGGGCCCCTTTTTGAATATTTAAAGGAGTGTTATGGGCCTCTAGTTAAATGAGTGTTTTTTTTAGTGGGCCTGTCTTTATGGGCTTCTACCATTTAAAAGGCGTTATGGATTGGAGGCCCCATTTGACTATTTAAACGAGCTTTATGGACATCGCTATTCGATTATTCAATGGTGTGATATGGGCGCCCTATTCGTCGATTAAAAGCAGAGTTAAGGATCCCCAGGCTTTAGACCAGTGGCGTAGCGAGGTCGGGTGTCACCCGGTGCGGCACTTAATGGTGTCACCCCCCCCCAGAGGCATAGAGACCCTTCCCAGGGACAAACTTTCAAATTTTTGATTTGCACCCCCCCCTCGAGTTTTCGATTTGCACCCCCCCCTCAAACTTTCGATTTGCACCCCCCCCCTCGAGTTTTCGATTTGCACCCCCCCCCCCCCCTCAAACTTTCGAATTGCACCCCCCTCGAGTTTTTCTCTATATATTTTGCTATTTTTTGCCTTGGTGTCACCCCCCTAAATGGTGTCACCCGGTGCGGTCCGCACCCCCCGCCCCCCCCTCGCTACGCCCCTGCTTTAGACTTTAGTTGACTCTTTGAGACAAAATTCGTCCTATCCAAAAATTATATTTTTTAATTATCCAATCGAATTTAGCCTACATAGTCCATTTCCGCATTCATAGAAATCCTAAACATTTGTAAAAAAGAGTTATCCTTTACTCAAATAATAAACATTAGATTTGAATGGTCCTGTTTTACTTGTTTTGGATCAATGTTCATAGACCTTTACGTTTAAATTTAAATAAGATCTAATCTAGACATGATTTACGTTTAAATTTAAATAAGATCTAATCTAGATATAGATCTAAATGTTATATAATATTATATAAGCTTAACCAAAACATCTCAAGTACTCGATTTATTCAGTTCAGTCAGTGACTCAGTGTTTCACTCAAAATCACTGTTTCTGTAGTAATTTTAAATTTAACTAGTCTAGTCAAGTCTAGTGTAATCTCAGAGTAATCTGTGGTGACAATTCAAAATTATTATTTGATTATTTGGCTTGGGCCTAGATCTAGACTCTAGCATCCTAGATCAGACTACTTAAGAGACAGAAGAATTCTAGATATTCTCTTTAAAAAGGTGCCCTTTCGTGTCTTATGGAACCAGCTTTTTTAAAGGTAGGAAAATCAAAATATATTATTAATTATTTAGGGTAATCTATTGTTTTATTACGTAAAATCGCCCGCGGACTAATGTTAATGTATGGAAAAGTTACCTCATTGTTAAGGCTTTAATAGAAGTATATTGTGATATATTTGTGTCAAATAATAAATATTATAGATAAATGAATAATAAACCTAAATCAATGGCTAAATATTAAATAATAAATATATATCAATATAGTTCAATATATAGGCAAGAAATTAACTTTAAACAGCAGTGTTTGCAAGCAGGATTTGCTATAAAAAGTATATAAAAAGCAGCCATATGTAAGTTAGAGTGGCTTCCCCTGAATCTCGCGCTATAAGTATAAAAAAAAAAAACTTAAACAAGATGGCTGCTATAGTAAATGAGCATGGTTGCATCTGTTGGAAACATCGCTAGTCTTCATTTATTGCTGAAACATTTTTGTATTTTTCAAAACATAAATCCTCCTCAAAATGTGAAATAATTATTAAAATTTAAAGAGTCACCTGTTTTTCACATTACTAGTCGCGGGCGATTTTATGTACCTAAAACGATAGATTACCATATTTAGGCTTAAAGATTAAGTTTTAAATCTAGTGTATAAAATAGAGTAGACACTTTTTTTAATCTGCCTGGAGTTCAAGACTGAAGTCTTAAGTGATGTAAACTAAGTAATGACTTGCTTAAGTTCTCAACTATCTAGCTTTACTTTAGGAAGGCCAAGTGGTCGAGGCTATTCGGAAATATTCCCAGCCAACGGGGAATATCTAGGCTATAGGCCCTATATTACAGCTGTTCCTAGTCACCTATAATTTCATGTCACTATATGACATATGACCAGAGAAGGAGATATGTTTAGAGAGCAGTGCAGTCTTTTGTTACATTTTATGAGAAAAAATATTAGTTTATAGCAAGCAGTTTAAATTTATGTTCATAATTATAGTTATTACAGTCTATTAGTCTATAGATCAGTGGTTCTTAACCTAGGTTCAACCAAACTTCAGGGGATCAATGTAGGTCTAGACAAAAACCAGACTCATGATTTGCAATCATATTTTGTTAGTGCTGACGCTAAAACTAGTGTCTGAAGCAGGCAACTATTCAAATATGACAGTGCAAAAGCATGACATAATAATAAAGTAATACGTGCCCAAAGCGAGATACTACATTTCAGTTTAGTGATATTTCTTTATTGTGAAACCTTTGATGTAATGGCACACATACATCACGAAAAGTGTCCATGCCACATATACAGTTGCGCATTGATCCTGCATATGTGTGTGATGAATAGGCTTTTTATTTCTATATTTTGGCCCAGTAGTTGACTTGATGGTATGTCGTAATAGTTTAATCCCTTCATACTATGGTGAGCAAAAAAGCTAGTATCAGACGAATATTTGTGTACAATAATTTGATTCTTGATAGTTCGGAACTTGATGAGAGTCAGTGCTGTCCTTTCTGCATGATTTTAAGTCACACTGATTTTCAGTTAATATTCACTAGTATATTTCTTTCTTTGAACACAGTGATGTTGATGCATGGTTCGTTTATGCACCAGTAAAATATATACCTTTATTTTAAATTAGAAAAGAATCACACTTTATTTTTAATACTAAAAAGATTTGGTGAATACGCTTGTGAAGCTGGTGGGGTACCTCTAAAATGCTTAAGAACCACTACTATAGATATATGTTATGTAGACTAAATGATGTAATAATTACACACGCTAATAAGTAGGCTAATAGTAAAAGTTCTAGTATTCCTAATTTTAAAATTAATAAAATATGCATCACTTGTGGAGGTCACAATGCTATTCAATTACTATTTTAAAATTAAAATGGATTAAAGTTCATGTGAACTAGCATTGAGTTTTAATCAGTTATCTTTTCATTATTAATGCTTCAATAGCAATTTTCACAAGTAATTTCTTATTTCATTGCTGATGAAAATTGAGGGGTTTCTGGAACTGCAGATATACATTGCAATCATGTCATAAACGCAAAGAAATTGTATTTCTACAATTCAAATTTAAAATAAATAATTAAAAAAAAACACATTCTTTTGTGAATAATAGCTAAAAATAAAATAAATTTTTTCGAACAACACCCAAATGGAAGCAAGCATTTAATGGGTTCTGATCCCTACCCTCTCCCCTTTAACCTTTGAACTTCACCGTCCTGCACTGCTTTGTATACCAGTGGTAAACATATTACTCTGGACTACCTCCCACATTACAAAACTCACTAATACCTAAACTCTGAGGGTTTGTGTATGATGTCGACTGGGTAGGTAGGGACTATAGCGAGGGTCAAAGGGTGGATCGGAAGGTATGTATGTGTTTGACAAGTGTGGGGTATGTATGTGTTTGACTACAAGTGTGGGGTATGTATGTGTTTGACAACAAGTGTAGGGTATGTATGTGTTTGACTACAAGTGTGGGGTATGTATGTGTTTGACAACAAGTGTAGGGTATGCATGTGTTTGAATACAAGTGTGGGGTATGTATGTGTTTGAATACAAGTGTGGGGTATGTATGTGTTTGACTACAAGTGTGGGGTATGTATGTGTTTGACATGTGTGGGGTATGTATGTGTTTGACTACAAGTGTGGGGTATGCATGTGTTTGAATACAAGTGTGGGGTATGTATGTGTTTGAATACAAGTGTGGGGTATGTATGTGTTTGACTACAAGTGTGGGGTATGCATGTGTTTGAATACAAGTGTGGGGTATGTATGTGTTTGACTACAAGTGTGGGGTATGCATGTGTTTGAATACAAGTGTGGGGTATGCATGTGTTTGAATACAAGTGTGGGGTATGTATGTGTTTGACAAGTGTGGGGTATGCATGTGTTTGAATACAAGTGTGGGGTATGTATGTGTTTGACTACAAGTGTGGGGTATGCATGTGTTTGACTACAAGTGTGGGGTATGTATGTGTTTGAATACAAGTGTGGGGTATGTATGTGTTTGACTACAAGTGTGGGGTATGTATGTGTTTGACTACAAGTGTGGGGTATATATGTGTTTGACTACAAGTGTGGGGTATGTATGTGTTTGACATGTGTGGGGTATGTATGTGTTTGACTACAAGTGTGGGGTATGTATGTGTTTGACTACAAGTGTGGGGTATGTATGTGTTCGACAAGTGTGGGGTATGTATGTGTTTGACAACAATGGGGTATGTATGTGTTTGACAACTGTGGGGTATGTATGTGTTTGACTACAAGTGTGGGGTATGTATGTGTTTGACAACAATGGGGTATGTATGTGTTTGACAACTGTGGGGTATGTATGTGTTTGACAACTGTGGGGTATGTATGTGTTTGACTACAAGTGTGGGGTATGTATGTGTTTGACAACAATGGGGTATGTATGTGTTTGACAACTGTGGGGTATGTATGTGTTTGACAACTGTGGGTTATGAATGTGTTTGACAACTGTGGGGTATGTATGTGTTTGACTACATGTGTGGGGTATGTATGTGTTTGACTACAAGTGTGGGGTATGTATGTGTTTGACTACAAGTGTGGGGTATGAATGTGTTTGACTACAAGTGTGGGGTATGTATGTGTTTGACTACAAGTGTGGGGTATGAATGTGTTTGACTACAAGTGTGGGGTATGAATGTGTTTGACTACAAGTGTGGGGTATGTATGTGTTTGACTACAAGTGTGGGGTATGTATGTGTTTGACAACTGTGGGGTATGTATGTGTTTGACTACAAGTGTGGGGTATGAATGTGTTTGACAACTGTGGGGTATGTATGTGTTTGACTACAAGTGTGGGGTATGAATGTGTTTGACAACTGTGGGGTATGTATGTGTTTGACAACTGTGGGGTATGTATGTGTTTGACTACAAGTGTGGGGTATGAATGTGTTTGACAACTGTGGGGTATGTATGTGTTTGACAACTGTGGGGTATGTATGTGTTTGACAACTGTGGGGTATGTATGTGTTTGACTACAAGTGTGGGGTATGAATGTGTTTGACAACTGTGGGGTATGTATGTGTTTGACATGTGTGGGGTATGTATGTGTTTGACAACTGTGGGGTATGTATGTGTTTGACTACAAGTGTGGGGTATGAATGTGTTTGACAACTGTGGGGTATGTATGTGTTTGACTACAAGTGTGGGGTATGTATGTGTTTGACAACTGTGGGGTATGTATGTGTTTGACAACTGTGGGGTATGTATGTGTTTGACTACAAGTGTGGGGTATGAATGTGTTTGACAACTGTGGGGTATGTATGTGTTTGACTACAAGTGTGGGGTATGTATGTGTTTGACAACTGTGGGGTATGTATGTGTTTGACTACAAGTGTGGGGTATGTATGTGTTTGACAACTGTGGGGTATGTATGTGTTTGACAACTGTGGGGTATGTATGTGTTTGACAACTGTGGGGTATGTATGTGTTTGACAACTGTGGGGTATGTATGTGTTTGACAACTGTGGGGTATGTATGTGTTTGACAACTGTGGGGTATGTATGTGTTTGACAACTGTGGGGTATGTATGTGTTTGACAACTGTGGGGTATGTATGTGTTTGACTACAAGTGTGGGGTATGTATGTGTTTGACAACTGTGGAGGTATCACAAACTGCTTCTGGCGCTGGTGTGGAGAATGTACCGCCCCCTCCCCCCCCCTCCACACATGAGATTGATAGGGCTGAATTATGTTTTCTTTTGTTTTCTTTCTGTTGTCATGGCGACGAGTCTAGTGAACAATGCGCCATTATTGTTGCCGCCGCAAATTCGCTTTTAATATTTCCTCCCACACGAGAGTGCGACTGGTTTGGTAGGTGGTGTGTGTGTGTGGGGGGGGGGGGGGGGACCCGGTTTGGTAGGTGGTGGGGGGGGGGGCAACATTCCAGGCCCGAGGCCGTTCGTTGTTCTTCAACAGTTGCAACGGCTGTCAATTTTCTTTGATTGATGTGTTGAAGATTGTCGCGTTGTTTTCTTACGGCCCGGCCAGTCCAAACTTGGGT